CCCCCCCCCCCCCCCCCCCCCCCCCACCGAGGCATTCTGACACCAAAGACCTAATTACTCCAATATTGTTTTATCTCTCCAGGTGCACGCTTGCGGTTTGAACTGAATGTGTGTCTGCCCGCTTAACTGTCTGTCTGACCGTCTGTCAGTCTGCCCGCTTGTCTGCGCCTCATCCTCATTTTTTTTTCTCACTGTCTAGTAATCGCAAGGGAGTTGTGCCCCAAAAGCTTTGCGCAACGCCCCCAGTGTGCACACTCCTTCTGTCCTGTCTAACTCTCCGACGGGGTTATGATATATGGACTAAAATAGCCCATCTTCCCTTTTTTTAAACACGCATATCCTACTCTGTCATCCCACGCACCCACTGTCTCCTCCCCGCATCCCCTCATCCATTCACATCCCTCATCTCTCCAGTCAGGGTCTGGCTGGCACGCAGGGTGGGGGGAATGAGTGTGTGAGCGACCGTGCGTGTTGGTTTGCACACACACTCTCACACACACACACACACACACACACACACACCCATGTGTGTTGCGTGTATGAAGATGTGTTTGTGCGCGTTTGTGCGTGTGCGTAAAAGGTGAGGATGACCTTTTTACGGGGAATTGATTTAGATGATGTCCTGTCGTCACCAAGGTTACCAGCTGTGTGAATGCGGATGAGCATTTGTTTCGTGGAAAAGAGCGTCACACTTTGGCACGCTTATCACGCGCGGAGCAATGGGACAAATACGCACACATATGCACGGACACAAGTTGCCAACGGGTACACGTTCGCATCGTTGTGCGGAGAAAAGCCTGAGTCAAAAGTCCTCCCCGCAGACCGGACCTCAGCGATGCTTGAAAAATGAACAGATGTTTCGCGGCAAAGGTTCGCTAACACGCCACGCGGAGAGGATGTTGCTGTCTGGCTGTCTTAAACTGTTTGTGTTTTTCGACTTGTTTATCTGCGAGGCTGGCTGCGCCCTACGGGGGTGGGATGTGCGAGAGCGAGTGAATGGGAAGAGGCAGGGTGAGAGGGAGAGGAGAAAGTACCGGGAGGTGAGGAGGAAGAGGGAGGGAGGGAGGGAGGAAGGGAGGGAGTGAGCAGGCAGGGGAGAAGAGCTGGATGCAGATGGGGATCTATTCTCTCCGCCCAGGCAGAAAATATGGAAATGAGTGGGCGTCTGTGACGTCAATCAGTGTACACACACACGCACACACACACACACACACACACACACACACACACACACACACACTCACACACACACACACACACACCCACACATGCGCATGTAGGCACACACACAGACACGCAGATTTGAGTTTCATCTCTGACCCGGCTGATGATGTCAGACTCTGGTTTCTGTCATTCATAGCAACAACAACAACACAAAATTACTCGTCACAGGAAGAATGAGAATGACGATGTCAAAAGTTTTCAAAAGAGGTAAACATGTAGCATCATTCATAAAGTTAAAGGCCCGAGAGTGCATGTATAACCTTTATTCATTCAGAATAAGATTTTAAATCTCTCACAAGGGGATGTACTCAGAAGTACTCAGATATTTTGCTGTACTCATAAAAGTACCAGTGGGACAGTGTTAAAATACTATACCATGAGAAGTAAAAGTCCTATATTAAAAGTCATGCTTGTACAGCTGCTGCCTCAGTCATTTGTGCCCCTCACTCTGCTGTGAATGTGCCTCTCTGTCCGCCTGATTGATCTCTCGTTATGTAAGCTTGTGTCTTTGTCACATGGCCAGCGATATGATCCATTATGCTGCGCTTAGTTTGAACAGTTAACAAAGGAAAGTCCCAGTGATGGATTTTGATACCAAAGAGGGGGGGACGGGGGGGACGGGGGGGACGGACGGACAGGAGGCATATCCTGCATCACTGCACACTTTTGGATTGATGTGTTAAATGTAATTACGGTTCAGTTTGAGCCTGAAAAAAAAAGCACACAGATGGGTTGAAGTTGTGAGGTGGAATGACAAAGAGGCGTGATCGACAGGTTCAATTCCCTCAAAGGATCGGCGTCTTTGGCAAGTTCGCCTTTAAGAAAAGGATCCATCCACGTCCCCTCGAGTCGTGACGACACACACTTCTATCTAGAGGAATAAAAAACTATTTTTGAAACACTCCACGCACGCCTTCCAAATGTGGCTGTTGAGGATAATTTAGCAGATAAAGTAAGAGTGCATCGTGTTTCAGAGTGAAGGTGGTTAGTGTGTGTGTGTGTGTGTGTGTGTGTGTGTGTGTAATTCTGATGAGGGGGATTGGAGGTGTGGTGGGTAGGTGGCATCAGAACTAAATATGCAACAGCCTCTTGCCATTAACTTTTCTATTTCTCTGAGGTAAAATGCTTTTCACTGGCTGTTTATCATGTAGGTTTTTTTATCCTCTTGTACCCTCAGCTGGAAGAGGACTGAGTCATATGCAGTCAAGGAAGCAGGTGGGTGGGAGGCACACAGTGGGTGGGGGAGGAGAAAGGTGGAGGACGTGGGTGGTTGCGGGTTAAGGAGGGTGAGGAGAAGGTTGTAGTGAATGAAAAAGAAGAACAAGAAGAAGAAAGAGATGAATGGTGAATACTACGGATCCATTTCAATATGTTCATCGGTCGCATATATCCTGTCTGCAAAGGAGCGTAAATACCCTCATGAATATGATTCCGGTTTCTATTCTATTAGAGGTGCTTCATAATATCTGGCGCGTCTATCGTGGCATTCAATAAACATGACTCTCTCGTAGGACTTTAAAGGGGCTGGTAATGGACAGAGGAATTAATTTGGACACCCTTTAGAGCAACATGTCATTCTGCTGACAAAACTTGATGCATTAGTTTTCATTTACACTGCGGAGGCTGTGTTATTTATTTTTTTGCAGAGGCAGAAATCTGAACAAATAAAAAAGACTTGTTTGCAACTAAACCTGCATGTCGAATGTCATTCTGAGGAGATAATAAAATGTGTTGACCAGGGCACGCGAGAGACAGAAAGAGAGAGGGGGGGGTGAACATGTTTGTTAAAGGGTGGGCGGGCCATTAGCAAAATTGATGTGCACGTGGCCCTGTGCATGTGCTCCTACACACATGTGTGCTCTCCAGCATCACTGCTGCCGTCACTGCAGCCACCTCGCAGTGACTCCCCTGTGACTGAAGGCCTGACAACCTCCCACGCTCTCCCCATAAACTCCCCTGTTCCTCTCTCCTCGCTTTGTCTATACCCCCTCCCCCTCTCACTCTGTCCGTTGCTTTATGTCTCCCCCTCAACTCTCTCCATCCACCTCTCTCTCCCTCTCCACTATCTTTCTTTCATTTCACCCACCTCTTTTTTCTCTCTCTCTCTCTCTCTCTCTCTCTCTCTCTCTCTCTCTCTCTCTCGTGCTTTGTTTGTTTTTTATCTCTCACCCCCTCATTTCGGTGTGTGGGTCTTCCCTGTCTTCCGTCATGCTCTCCGCCCGCGCTCACCGTGCTTCCCGTCTCTGTCTCTATGGAAACACCCCCCGAGTGGACAAGAGTGGCTCAGAGGTCTGCGAGACGCTGATACAGACCCTATTAGATCACACGCTCTCCTCCTCGCCCTGTGAGCCACACACTTGTGTGTGTAAATAGATGATGTGTGACTGTGCCAAGTATACCTGCCATCAAACGAGTCCCCCCCTGCCCATCTGTGGAAAGAGACACCCCCGTCTCCCCTAGTGCCCATGACTTATCAGTGGCTGTGAAGTGGGAGGAAAAGATGGAGGCAGTGTGGGAGTAAGGAGGGAGCCCTATTGTTTCATTATACGAGGCCTCTTCAATTACTCGGCAGAGAAGGGGACCACCTGATGCCGCCTCTACACATATATATTCCCATCTGAAGCGCACGCACGCACAATCACACGCACACACACACACTCTCCGACTCCCTCCTCCCCCTGGTCTAGCGTTTCAGTCTCACACCTCGCACCCCGTACTCTCCTCACATTTACACGTTGTTGAGGCTGCTGTGTTGCGTAGACCGTGCGTCATTCGGGTCCAAACGCATCTGAAGGACAGTTGATTTGTGATAAGAGGCCTCTCACAGACATCATTTCACAGCTTTTGGGTGGCTCTCATGGGCACCAGCGTGATTTGACGGTCACGCTTAAGTGGATCATTGCAGAGCGCAATCATAGGGAATATAAGTAAGCAGGTGTGGGCTGTGTGTGTGTGGTGGTGGTGGTGGTGGGGGGGTCTTTGGAAATAATTCAATTTCTGAAGGTTTGTTGAGTTTCCCCTTTATTTTATCAAAACGTACATGAATAAACTACAACAAAGGACTACATTAAATAAGACATCAAAACGGGCAGCAATAACAGGGGTCAACAACTGAACACACACCCGACCCAGCCCCAGGCCCACCCCATTAACACCCCCAGTGCAGTGAGATAAAGACATGCCAATGATGTCTCACATTGAGGCACTTGATTTCCCTACCGAACCATCTTTGGTCAGAGTTGCTGTTGCGCGTCTTTGCACTTAGATTCAAACAGGTCTGAGGAGGATCTGAACTTGTTTGTATGTTGATTCCGACGGCGTGAATTAGAAGATGTCCCACCAGTTTCAATGCAGTCCCTTCGTTTTAGACAGAGCTGCGTCTGCCATGTTTGGAGATGACCCAAAGATGGTTGTAACCTGACCACCTCCACAGAGTAAACTTCAGCATTAAATAAATCAACACTAGATGGTACAGTACTTCACATGATTACAGAAAGGACTTCACGAGGGGAAAAGAATCAATCACTACATCTTAACACAGTTTACCTGAAAACAATGCAGTGTATCCGCACACGATATACTGTAATCAATACGCTGTACAGTCTATTGCAAAGGCATTGTTGTTGGCATTTTTCTAGGAGCTAACCAGTCTGTTTAGTATTATCTTGGAAAGTCTTGCAAAAATAGATTGATTCTTATTAAATGAAAAGCCTTTGCTTTGACTTGAGGATGTGATCTATATATTTAGCTACTCATGCATTGTCTAACTTTGTGTGCGTACAGTATACAGGGTTTGTATGTGTTGAGCGTACGTGTGTTATGATGAAAGCACAGTACACACTGGTAGACTTGTCCCTCAGTATTTCGTTTTTTTTGTTTTGTTATCAGAATACACCCCTTCAGTAAAGGATTAACAAAGTTACATGAAACTGTTTAAGAAGCATAGTAGTCACACAGTATTTGGCAGTGAGAGAACAGTCCTAATTTATCCATGCACAATATAAACCACAGGCAAGGTCCACATTCTGAACAAACCCAAGAACAACACAGTAAGAACATGAAAAGAGTGTCCAAGAATTCAAGAACCTGGAAGTGTGAGTTTCATGTGTGTGTGTGTGTGTGTGTGTGTGAGAGAATATCATCAGCACAGCTGGTTTCCCGTGGAGACCAAAGGGATATGACTCATGCAGTGCATAAAGCATTTTCGGGAATTTTGACAATATCAGAAGAATTATTATTTTCCCACAAAGCCCAGATAATTACATATAATCATATTAGAACCTTACAGAGTACTCGGGGAGTTTACTGTAAAAACCTACTCAATCCCACCCCCATAGGTCTATTATAGACCAAACAGTTTATCCCTGGATTATATTTCCATTCACCAGCTCTTTCCTCGTGAAAAGCACCTTCCCTTTGCTTCGATTGTGTGTTTTGCGTGATTACGTGTGTGTTTTAGACCAGTCCAGTCTGTGTGTGCAGGTGTAAGGGGTACGGTTGGTAAAGCAGAGTTGATCCCCCTTGGGGGATGAAGTAGCTGCAGTAGCTGGGCTCTGCTAAATAGGGGGCACTGGGATCAGCCAGGTACGGGGCTGGCTGGTAGAAGCAGGTCACATGGTCTGTGTTGGGGATAATGTTCTGCTCTCCTAGAACCTTCAGCGCCAGCACCGTGATCATGTTCAGGGTCTGACGCCGCTCGTGTCCCATCAGACACACGGTGCTGTCATCGACCACGCGACGCAGCGTCATCAGGTACTGGTACTTGCTTCTCTCCTCGCCGATAAAGTGGTTCTTCAAGTAGGACAGGATCTTCCTCTGCTGCTCCTGCACGTCAGGGAAATCGATGAAAAAGCGCGAGCACATGTAGCGCTCCAGTGTCTTTATCTGAGTCTCGCTGGCTGGTCGGTAGTCCCTGACCAACAGGTTGCTGTATTTCAGCAAGCCCCCACCTCGGATCTCTTCGGGGTTCCTGGTGGCGATTAGCCGGTAGCGCAGGTGGTCCATGGCTGCCTCAAAGTCACCATACATGCTCTCTGCCAGGACCTCGACAGCAGGGACCGAGCCAGAAGCCGGAGGAGCAAAGCTCTGTTCAGGCATGACTGCGGTCACCTTGGAGGCCTCTTTGTTCTCAGGCACAGAGCTGGATGCCTCGTCGGCTTTTGGAGGGATCGATTCCCCTGGGCCTTCAGACTGAGAGTGAGGCAGCACATGTGTGGTGGAGCTCGGGATTGTGATTGGAAACGAGACGGGCTCCGCAACCTGAGGCAATGAAGAGATATGATCTTGCTCCTTTTTATCCTCCAACTGTACTTGAGGAATTCCTGACTGAGGGGAGGACTCTTTAATATGTTCCTCGCTGTCTGTGTTCACTATCAAAGGCTCCATGTCTGAAGATACCTGAGGTACAAGGTCCTCTGACTCCACTGGCGGAGTGAGGCAGAGGAGGGGAGGGCTGAGGCACGGGGAAGGGGGGCTAAGGCAGAGCGGAGTAGGGCTGAGGCTAAGCATAGGAGGGGTGAGGTAAGGAGGTGAGCTGAGACTGGATGAGGTCGGGCTGAAACTCAGGGGCGGAGAGCTAATACTGGTAGCAGGGCTGACGGTGTTCAGCAGCGTGGATGAGAGGCAGTGAGGGGGTGGGGTCAGACATTGGGGAGGGCTGAAGCTGGGGGGCGAGGGAGTGAAGCAGGGAGGGGAGAGACTCAGCACAGGAGGGGATAGACAGGAAACAGGGGGGCTCGCACGGTGAGGAGAGGAGGGTGAACTAAGCGTGGTCTCTTGCGGGCTGCCGGTTGGCTGATTCAAGTCCACCGTGTTCCTCCCCAGTTCCCTGTTCTCATCTTCGTCACTGAGCTCAACTTCTGAGGTACGTGCAGGTACTAGGGTGTTTGAGCCGGACGCATCGGTGCGTGGAGCTAACGCATCCGCAGAGTCAAGAGGCTCTGATTGTTTGGGTGCAGGGACGGTTTCGCTAAGGGGGGGCTGGCTTTGCTCATGACAAACCACATGTGTAGACAGCGTCTCTTTTAGGCTCTGAAGACTTGTCTCACACAAACTCTCCGTGATTAGCTGAGGGGACGAAGGCTCTTGAGATAAACCAGACACGGGATCCACAGCAGAGGTGGAGATCATATCAGGGGCTGGATCAGGAGCTGAGGTAAGGTCTAGGTTACAGGAAGGGGTCGGTTCAGACCCAGGGTTTGTTTTTGCAGAGATACTGAATGTTGGGGCAGTTATAGGGTCTGAACTGGGAGCTGTTGGCTTTGGGTCAAAATCTATCTCAGGTTCAGGGCTCGGGCAGGGGTTTGGATCTAGACAAGGCTCTAGGACAGGTTCGCTTTCAGAGACTGGACTGGGATTGGGGCTTACCTTCCTACACATCCTCCGAGGGGGTTTGGGAGAGGAGTGTTTGAGCACCACCATGCTAGATAGTCTCTCTGAGGCCTTACAGGAGGAGGAGGTTTTTTTGTCAGAAACAAGGCCGGGTGGTGCAGGTAGAATATCCTGAGTATCTGGAGGGCTGACGGCATCAAGTGCGCTAGGGGTTTCATCTGCGTATGATGTGCCGTGAGTCTCCAGTGTATCTTGTGTGCCAGCGGGCTCAGTGTTGTAAAGTGTAAGCGACATGGAAGAGGTGGAGCAGGAACAATCGATACCCTGTGTGTCTTCTACATTTTCTGCTTCTGATGCCAAAATCTCTTCTGTCATCTCACTTCTTTCTGTGTCATTTTTCCTCTCTGCTCGCTCGCCGATGTCTGTTTCTACTTTTCTTTCATCTGCCAACTGTGTCTCTTTCTTTGAGGATGTGCTAGAGTCTGCAGCAGTCACATGTTGCGTTTTATCTTCCTCATCACTCCTCTGATCCTCACTGAAACACTCGGAGGAGTCTGCACTGTGACACTCTTCTGGCAGGTTCAGAGACTCCGTCTGAGTTTCGTTTGAGGTTCCTGGCGGTTCGGACTGCCCCGTCTGCTCTGTGAGTACTTCCTGTTCATCGGGGGATTTCGTGTGGTTGGATTGTTCTTTCTTGACAGAGAGTGGTTTGTGATCTGAATGTGCCGTCTGTTGGTCATCGTCGGGCTGGGTTTGGTCCGACTGTTCTACCTTTGTCGAGCCTTCGGTCTCGTCTGAGAGCTCCGGCTCATGTCTGAGCTCGATCTGACTTGGTGGTTCAGCTTTCTCAGAGGTTTCTCTCTCTTCTGACAAAAGGTTTGGAGGTGTCTGGTCAGAGAAGTCTGTCTCACTGAAGGTTTCTTTGTGTTCTGCCGTTTCTTCCAGTTCCACTGGTGTTTTCGCTTGGTTGTCTTTTTCAACTTCGGAGTGTTTTGTCTGGTTTGAATGTTCAGTTTCTTGTGAGAGTTCTGTCTGGGACTCCTTTTCGTGCACCTCATCTCTTTGATGTGTCTGGCTGATATGTGCCCCCTCTTTGCTGGACGAGTCTCTACCAGAGGACTTCTCTGTTTCTGGAGCAGTGGCCTGTTTGATCAGAGAGGGAGAGTCTTTATTCTGATTCTCTGCCGGCTGGCCCTTAAGATCAACAGTGCTATGTTTGTGCTGTGACTCCTGCTGCATGTAGGACTCCAGGAGACGATCCAGAATGATCTGGAAGGAGTCGACGCTGAACTCAAACTGCCGCCTCAGCTTGCTCACAAATTTGAGCTCCAGGTTTTTGCCACTGTTGTTTGAGAGGGAGATGAGGCTCCAGCGGTCGTGCTCGTTGAAGACCTTGACCATCTTCTGGACGTAGGCCTCCTTCATCGTGGAGCTGCTGATCCGCTCCCTGTTGACCCCAGCAGGTAGGCAATCCAGCAAGCAGCCCAGCACTGACTCCTTGATCACCTGTGAGGAGGAAAGGTCAACAACATGACAGCTACAACTAATGACTGCAACCTGAGTGCAATTCTTCCTCGAATCATTGAACTGTTTCTGTATAATGCAGCTAAAAAATATTGTAGCCAGTGCTATTGATTCATCCTAATGGTATAATGTTCTACAATTAAAGTTTGATTAAGAATACAATAACATCATTATCAATAAAGCAACACACCCTAGAGGTAGTAGAGTAGATTCATCCTGCTCAACAGCAGGATGAATGCTGGTTAATGAAGGTGATTGAACTGATCTGCTCTGCTCTTATTACATCGACCTGTTTCATTCGTCCTAACCCAGCAGTACAGTGGTCATACCTGGAACTCCTCCTGACTGGGCAGCTCCACTCCAAAGATGATGTCCAGGTCCTTGTAGCTCGTTCCGTTGTCTCGGACGAGGACGTGGCTGGCCGTGGAGCCGTTCAGACGGATGTCTCTCACCGCGATCCCCTGCTGCTGCAGCCTGGCCCGCACGGCTATGATGATGTCTCGCGGACGCAGCTCCAACGTGGGGAAGTTCCCGCGGCCGTGGATTGGGACCGCCTCTGATAAAACCTGGTGGAGGACCTCCACCTGCTCAGCGTTCAGACTGTGGAACCGCTGATTGGATTTAGTTTCAGACATGCTGCTGCCCTGGAGGGAGGGAGGGAGGACGACAAAGAGAGTTTATTACAACTCCCATATAACTGTGTTATGTGTTTAGCTTTCTCTTTCTCTCTCTCTCTCACACACACACACACACACACACACACACACACACACACACGCACACACACACACACACACACACACACACACACACAC